CAAAGGGAATGAGAATGGGTGCCCCCTTGGTGGTTTATATAGGCCACCATAGAATTGTTGAAATGAATCATGATTCCTGACAAGAGGAAGAAAGTGATCCAAAGCATGTTGTAGTGCCAGAACCTCTAGGATGTTGATATGTTAAGACCTCTCAGTGGTAGACCATTGTCCGGAAGCAACTTGCTGATCGACTTATGCCCCCCCCCCAAAAAAATCATGGAGGGAAGCATCTGTGAAGAGATATAAATCCAGACAAGGTGGAGAAAGTGGTACACCCAACAATATGTGGACCTTGTTCAAACACCAATGCAGATTGTCAATGTGGGAAGGAGGATGGGTAATGGGAGAATCCAAAGGTATCCAAAGCAAGATTCCATTGGTTGTGCAGTATCCAATGAAGAGAATGCATGTGCCTGACCCAAGGGAGTAAGTGCTTCCATAGAAGCTCACATCCCCAAAAGCTATTAAACCTTGCAAGCAGTAAGATAGTGAGCAGCAAGATCGTGGAGAACTGAAAGCTCCATTGAACTGAGTCGAAGAGAAGAAGGTTGGGACTGACTGTGGTGGATGTTGAAAAAGGCACCCAAATGGACAAGACACAGAGTAGATAACAGGAAAGACTTGATGATCCTACCTATTCAACCTGCTTCTTTGAGTTTGGAATGACCTAACAAAAGCTGGTAAGTGCAATCCCCATGCATGCATAAGTCAGGCAAATGCTTTGACCATCCAATAAAAGACACATGGAGCTGAAGCAAGCCTGAAAGGAGAGGTACAAAACTGGTACAAAACCCTGTCTCAACTGATGAGAAATAGCAATGTGGAGATAAACATTCGAGACATCTACCTTGGTCATCCACATTCCTGGAGAAAAACCACACATTAGTGTGAGAAAGGACTCCATTGTAAAACAGGGAAGATCCAAAAAGTGATTGGGGTGGGACAGAATGATCACAGGACACCAGTCCCCGATTTCCGTGGGTACCATAAAGAGCTTGGAGTAAAAACCTGGTGAAGGATGGCAGACAGGCTTGATAGCTCTCTTTGATAGAAGAGTCTGCACTGCCTCTGACAGATGTAGAACTGGTAGTAGGATTCCAAGGTAACAGAAAGGATATGGGTACAGGAGTTAATGGGGTGGGGAAAGGAATAGGATGACAAGTCCCTTGGACAAAACCTGAATAACCCAACGAGTGACAGTGAATTCCCACCATAGGGGAGAAAAATCATCCAAACAATCCCCCACTGGACTGGAACCCACAGGATAGTCTTTGGTACTGTTAGTGACAATGAAACTTGTATTGAGAAACTCGGCAAATAGTGGAAGCTCTAGTGGTAGGAACAGGTAAAAGATGGAAGGGGCAGGAAATGGAACAATAACAGGGGATTGCAAAGGTTGAATGTTGCCTAACAGATTCCACACATGATTCCAAAGTCTCAGGAGTATCCCCAAATAGACGAAGAGGATAATCATGCCAAAGTGGATGTAAGGAAGGAGAAGGTATCCCTCAAATATCCCTCAGGAGATTGGTGGAGTTCCTCATACAGGAAGTGTATGATGGACAAGTACCAGTGGAGAGCCATAAAGGTAAGATTAAGGTGGGAAAACTGGGCCTGGGATAAATGGATAAAATTGTGAGGGTCCACCCCCCATACAGTGATTCTAGCTGCTGAGAATCAAGAAAAAGGTAATATGCCTAATGTTAAACCAAGGCAAAATGATCTAAGACTCATGGAGGCCGAGGCATGTTAGCGGCATTTCAAACCGAGAGAAAAAATGATCAGCACAAACCCTAATGTCAGGAGGAGAGAAAACAAACTACTGTGAGAAGAGGGTGTCATGTAATATAGAAGGATCAAGATTATAAGAAATCAGGGAAATGAATAAAACAAAACACACTTGAGAAATCATGTCTAAAAAGGCTGAGGAAGGCCTAACAAATTCTGCAGGAAAGGCTTAGAAAGGCATGGCATAATTAGATGGAGGAAAAAGACTGTCAAAATCTTCACCATCATGAACAGGTTTGGCAGGTTCAGGAGGAAGTTTAGCAATATCGGGAGAAGAAGGGCGACTCATATAAAGATCAATTTACTGAAGAAATCCGATAATTCCTCCAGCGAGTTTCCGCGACCTGAAGCCTGTGCTGGAAGAAGGTGGTAGAACCACTGATGTGGTAACACTAACTTTGGAATTCATCATGTAATGATGAATAATTCAAAAAAATTAAGAACAACTAAAGTAAGTTATCACTTAAAACTACAAAATAACCAATAGTAAAATAAATAAATAATATTTTTACTTTGTATGAAATATTAAAGAAAACGAATGCATTAAGAGAGCACAATCATAAAAACGTCTTGATTAGAGCACGGCCTAACGAGAAGTGATAGTTCAGTAGAATTGAATACAGGAAGTCACATATGTCAGGAGGGTGTGTCACACTCCTATTGGTGGAGGGTTGTTGCATGATGATTTAAATGCGAGACACAGTTAAACCATGATGATTGTGGGGTATGTGGGGAAGCAACGCTTGTGGCATGTGAAAAAATGTTTGCATATAGAGAGTAGCACTGGACAAGAATAGTTATATATGTGAGTGGAGGCAATGTACCATATAGGAAAGACAAATTACATTAATTAATACAGTAGTTACACAACCCTTTCAAAACTTGAGATTTTTTACACATGGTTTCTCAAAATCTGTCAGGGTTTTATATATGTGTGGGCTAGCATTCTTCTACAATAGGTGTCTGTAAATTTTTGGCGATAAATTCAAACAATAAACAGACAGCACACAATCCACTTGTTTTAAAATAATATATTAAAAACCAGTCAAGCGTATGTACAGAAAATTCTTTACACTATATGATATCACAGTTCTATTTAAAATTAAATAATTCTCTTTTCTTATGAAAAGTCCACACAGGTTGATTCAACTATATTAGAATCCAATTGACAAGTAAAATTATTTTTCTCTATTCTGTGTCTTACTATACAATCTGGGATAAATTCACTTACGTCACCTCGCGAGTTACCACAGTTGTATCTTGAACTTTAAATAATTGTCTGCTTTTGTCAAAGTCCTCACAGATGGGTTCAATTACTTTAGAACACCCTTTGACATGGCAAATTATTATTCTTATCTCTGTTGAACTGTGAAATTCACTTTAAAATATCAACCGTTAAGACTAATCACTCACATGCCGGCTAACTTCACGTTTTCTAACTTTTTTTCTGACTGAACTTTACTTGACTTCACTTAACTTTTCTCTGCTTCTTCTTAATGCTCATGAGTAACATATATATATATATATATGTAAATACCTTATTCACTGAGGCCTTAAATGTTCGACAAACTAAGCGACTAACTAATTGATTTAACAATACTCAGTTTAGGTAACGAGAAAAATACTGAAGATTCGAGTAGTGTGACGTCAACAATATTAGTAAAGCCCAGACAACAATGTAATTGCAAACACAATGTACGATTTGTTCAGAGTTACGTAATGAAATTTGTCACAACTAACATTTTTAAAACAATCCATCTTCAACACTCCTGTCTTTAAAATTAAACAATCATTAAATATTAAGTCACAAAATAAACTAAATAATAACAATTACACTAGATATATTTGTATATCCAACAATATTTACTTTTGTTTTTACATACTGTATCAAAGTAGTTAATATTTAATTAACATTATTACAATGTAAGTTAACACACAAATAGTAATGGGTCACCTGCAATGCCTAATGCAGAACACCAAACACATGTGCAGTGGTACATGGGATACTGGATATATCAAAAGTCTAAAGCTGTCTAAAACTTGTGCATTCATTTAAAAACAATGAAAGTTTTATTCACAATCAGTCACCTATTGTAACAATACTGCATGCAGTCTAAAGTTTTCCAGAAAATTTAGACTTAATTTACATGCTCATAAGTTTGTTTACAATAATTTTGGAGTTTTAAGTGTTGTACTGATAACTACATAGTTACTCAAATGCTTTGTAACCAAGGGAAATGAATAACTGCAAGTAATTTCTATTAGGCAAATACATACTTAGCCAGGGGCAGAGCAGTGTTTTTAATCTGGACATTTCTAAAAATTCATATTACTATTCAGTGGGAAGGAAATTTAACATAATGTGATGGATGAGGACTTAATGACTAAAACCTTGAAAGTTTAGTAAACAGTTTGAGTCATACATAAAAAGTGAATGACACAAGAGAATGAACTGCTGAGTAAGTCAATTAATCAGTGCATAATTAATTAGTCAGTTCAGTACCTTTAATATTAACTTTGTGTATTCTGAATAGAACTAAAGATAAAAAAATAACAAGTAAGTTAAATTTTTTTGTCACACATAGTTTACTTGTGAAGTTAAACGTATCTGTAAATGTTGGTGATGCTAAATGTGGAACTAGAAGAAATAAAATGTTTTCATGAATGTTAAATGGACTGGATTTGCACATTACTGTTTTTACTGAATAATCCATGTGTATTCTTTCTTTACTATTATAAAAGTGACTAAAATGTAAAAGACAGAAACTTTTTATGTCAGATTAGGTAAGATAAGTAATAATAATAATAGTTCTTCATGGGATATGCTTGTGAGTAGCTTGTGCATTACATAACTGAATAGGGTAATGTGTGCTTAACATTTCCTGAGTGATTTACAACTTGTATGGCAGGATTATGAATAAGACATGGCTCTACATGCAATAAAACAATAAAATTAAGTATAAATAGATGTATAATGTTACAAACTTTAAACCATTTAGGAAAAATAACTGTGATTTCCTGTTACATAAATATATAAAATATGATGTTGCATTGCTCAATACCTTTAAGTTCGATTTAAAAAGATAGTTACTGCACTACTAAGGTTTTGTAATGTAGAAAACACAAAACTTAATGGCATTGTTAGTTTAGTTTATACTGACACTAAAGCAAATATTAAAACCACAATCTCCTTAATATAAAATAACACTTACACTTTCATCAGTCTGCAGCAAACAGTCAGCTTTGGCTTGTTCTTTATGAATTTCATTGTCTATCTCATCCACTGTCTGAGGGAGTTGTGCAAAGAACTGAGTGAAAAAGCATTTATTTACATAATTGTAGTAATGATCTTATCAATGATATGAATAATATATTCAATTTACCCAATGAGAAAGATATAAACACTATGTTATACTTGCAACTGAAAATTTCAACATACTTGATTTTGTTATTAAAGGCTTCTGAACTGAACACAATAATCATATTCACACATCTAAGCTCATACAGCAACATACACACATATACTTATACTTGCCACATCTACTCATTATAAACTACAAATTCACACTATCTTTACATATTTAAACATATACACACAAAATATTGTAACTGACTCAACTTGCAAGATCAGGATTAGCCTAAATGCAAAGGAGTGCTTACTATAACCTTGGTAAGAATATAACAATATTGTTGACCTAACTCTGAACTCATAAATACTTCTATATATCTAAAGTGTAAACCTAATAGAAGATAACAAACATAATTCTGTTTTTAATATCAAAAAAGTTCAGTGATCTAACTTGTTTAGTCCTAAACTAAAAATATTAAAATACAATTATTTTAGGTTTGTGCTTTCTAGGTATAAGTAGAAGGTAGAATAGGTTATGCAGTATGTTCTCATCCTAGCTGACCAGCAATGAAACATCTTTTTGGTTAGTTAAGATCATTAAAAATAAATTTTCATTTGAATACATTAATCTGATACCAGGAATTAAATCATGCACGTGATTCTTATTAAAGCAGAAAATGATTAAATAGAAATCTCTTTTAAACTGCAAAGTTAAAAGAATGAGAGAGAGTCATAGCCATTTCAGTAGGTTCTGCTATTTGTTAAAGAACTTGTACTCAATTAATAAATTTTTATTATTATGACTCCACATAGTTTTCTTTTAAAACTTTTCTGACCACAAATGGATATGATCTATTATCAATGTAAGATAATTCTCCATAAATACAAATGTCTTACTAGTTTATTTTAAAATTCTAACCTTTTTTAGATCTTCTGGTAGTTCTTCATTTGGGTGAATTCCTGTGATTTTTTTAGCAATATCTAACAAGTTATGTGCTTCGTTCTTTTTATTATCCATAACTTCCTTAACTTGCTCCAATTGTTGCTAAAATATATGTTTATAACAACAGATGCAAGTCAACATAATGTAAAAGAAAATGCATAAAAATAAAGGCAAACAGTTAAATTTCAGTATTTGTTTTTACATTCCAGCATATAACTTAACAGTAAAGTGAAATAACAAAAAGTAAAAACAAAAAAGCATTAACTAAAACAAGTTTTCTCTGTTATCATTAATTAAATGTTTATCTCTGTGATATTTTTCAAAGTGTCACAATATCTCACCACTGAATTTATAAGTTTCACGTATCTGTTCCCTGGATGGAAAAGTCCAGAGTTAAAATGCAACATTATTAATCATTGATTAAACATAACTGTTGATCATTTATAAAATTATTCAAGATTTTTAACAAACAATCACAGAATAACTAAACAATGTGACGTTTAAAATGTCATACTGTCTTTCAAGTAAAATAAATTACAATTACTAACTAAAGAAAACAAAAAGAATTCATATAGTCTCTCAGATTTTCCAAAAACAACAGAATTCAGATGATTTTAAGTGTTTGTGAATGAATGGAATATAAAAAGTAGTTGCTCTTGCGTCGTCATAACACAAACTAGTTTGTCCAAACTCCTCTGAAAGAACTAAAATCACACATTGTAGAATGAGTAAGATAATGCTCAATGGATATAAAACAAAATAAAAATAGTTTCACTTGTGCTAAGTATTTTAGTACCCTAACATATAACTGTGAGGTTAACAGTTAAAACATTAATTATAAGTTAAGATTAAACAAGGAGCTTGAGTTTATTTAGCAGCAACTATGCTGACTCTTGAAATCTCTTCACAGTGAGTTTACCCTTTGAATCACTGCTTATCCAGATTATTCTCATCAGTCATGTAATAAATAAAATTAAAAACTATAGCCACATCCATTTCATTTGTTATTGCTCAAAGTATCACCTCATTCCAGAGAACAGTCTTCAGAAGCTGAAACACCTTACAATGAGTGCACATCAAACCACCTAAAGACCCAGCAGAGAGAAGAAAATCCCTTTACAACCAACCTTGTGAATATTGACTTAAATATTTTGAAGACACACAATAAATCAACAAAAGTCAGAATTCAGGAGAGCAATAGCTATACAAGAATCTATTACCAGTCTACTTGGAACAGTCATTCATGTCAGTAAGGATCATAAAATAAAAAGAAATAACATTAAAATAACAGGATATGTACCACACAAGGAAAACAAAAGACAAAATAAACCCTCTTCATCTAACTAGCTAATATGGAAAAAAAATTTATCACTAAATTAAAAAGTTATGTACGGCTGGCTAATTAACTTGAAAAAAGAAACCAAACAAAGTAGGGATGGAAGTTGACATATCACTTGATTGGTTAATGATATAGCAGACTAATCTATTTTGACTTACAATGGAGAATAAAAACCCTACATTACTGGCATTCCCACTTTGTCTACTGAAAGTTTGGTGTTTGAATAGAATCTCAGCTTTCTTTATTATACCTCTCCTTTAGTTAATATTAGAATACTACTTTTATGACTATTTTACAACACAGTAACATTTTACAACTGGAAAATTGGTTATATTTGTTTTGCCAGTGAGGAAACCAGTAATGTAGGGATTATATTTGCCATGTAAAGTCAAGACAGCTTAGTCTTCTATGTGATCATTAGCCAATCAAGTGATATGTCCACTTCCATCCCTAACTTGTTTGGTTCTGTTTTACAAGTTCAGTAATCAGCCCTACATAGCTTTTTTAAGTCAGCAATAAATTTTTTTTCTTATACTTGTTTACTTTTTTACAAGATGGCGTACATGGGTAACTAGGTTATAGAGTGCATTCTAAAGCTGTATATAAATTTTCCATGCAATAATAATAAAATAGCTGGACAAACATCGTGAAGACTGTTTTGCTGTATCAAATGGTGATAAAATTACAGTTACTTTAGAACTAGGTAGGCACTAGGCCAATTGAAGAAAGATGGTGATGAAGTAAAGTAAGAAATTTCAATTTTGGCTATTCATCAGTTTTTGACTTTGGGATGTTCTGGATAACTGAAAGGTAGTATATACACCGGAGATAAAGCAATTATGCCAAGTAGCTCTTCATATCTAGCATATGATGGCCTTTATATGTATTGACTTTTTTGTTGACTCCTTCACTTCATACATATAATTGGGATCAGCTCCCTAAAGATACCAATTGTATAGTGTACAAAGCATTCGGTATTCTACGTGTTAATCACCTTATGTTCATATATTATTGGCTGGTAATTCCTGTTTCACTCTGTACTTGAGATTTTTAAAGAAACAGCAAATCTAGGTTAGGAAGCTAACTTCCAGGGGTAATAACACTGTTTACACTAGAATTATGATTTTCTTTTTTCTTTTTTAATTTTGCATATAATATACACCTGGAAAAAAGTTAAGCACCCCCGTGTTTTTTTCAAGTGATTCAGATTCGACGTTCTTGTGACTGATTATAAATTACCATTCAATCTAAACATGTTTATCAAATGAAATTATGCATTATTGGGC